GGCTTATGTTACCGAAAGCTAGGCAGCAAGATATTTACCATCGCTTTTAATTCTTTTGTGTGCCGCACGGCCAGATGGATCGAGCTGTTATCGAAAGAACTAATTTCTTGCAATATTACAGCGAAAAAAAATTAGATTCCGTCAATGTTTTGGAAAATTTGGGAATTCCGGAAGTTTAGAGCTTAGGCTTCAAGGTGACTCGAATGGTTCATTTCTTTGCTCACTTTCATTCTCCATATCTGCCAGTCATAGTCATAGCACTTGAAAATTTCAAAGATCTACTAGGCTGTTTCAAAAGTTCTGTCCGACTTTCAGTTGCCTTTTCTAACGCAGCTATTTTCTTAGGATTTTGCATTTATGGCATTGCCATAAGCATCATCTGGAAGCACTTTTCCTGCTCTTCCTAATGCTCACTGATGCTTGGCGAATCAACTTTCCAGTGATGAAATTTCAAGTCCCAAAGCAAAGTTGTCAAAATGCTGTCATGTCCAAGAAAAGTTTCCATGATGAGAACTTGCGCAGTGTTCGTAAAACTAAATATCTAATATTTTGTAATGGGTGAGGGTGTGATAAGCTAAACTAAGCACACTTTACCTTCGACGCAGAGAATGTTTTGCTTTTTCGATTATTTAGATAGAAAACAAACTCAGTTATTCAACAAGCGACAACAATCTACGTTTAGCGACAGGTGACGCATTCTATATTGCATATGTAAAGTAAAGCGTGAGCAAGCAGGAACCATCGGCCAACTGGCTTTTTTTTGTTTGCGACAGCAAGAAAATATCAAATATCGGAAAGCGGCTTATTTTCGCACGCGGAAGGCTTAAATAAGGGTTTTTTAAAATTTGCTCGCAAAAATTTCGATGCCGCCAAGATAAGTCAAATTTTCTTTAGTCGTAAAAGAACCTCTGTAGCTGCTCAATGATGGCAGCCAAATATGTCTGTCCACTCTCATATGAAAGCATTGAATTAGACAAATGGAGTTTGGAAGAAAACCTCGCAGAATTCGAAAAATTTTTTCCTTCTATTTCGCTCGCCTTTCTTGAATGGCATGCAGCCTGTGATAGCCATAAACTCGCTTAATTCAATAAAATTTGATTTGTTCAAAATTGTTAATTTTGGAAAAAGTTATAAAAATTTGGATGAAAAAATTGCAAGTCGGACAGAACTTTAAAACAACCTAGTATTTTGCATTCCTCTTTCGATCTTCTTGTGAATCAGCAGCAATGCTGGTTTTTTGATTTTCGTTCTTTATGGTGTTCTAACTATGTCAGCACCGCAAAAGTATCTCTTCGCATAAACTAGTCGTTTAAGGAGCTCTGAAGTTGGAAAGCCCCCAACCTTAATGTCCCTCTTCCCATTCGCCCAGGGTTTCTGAAGGATTCGTCCGCCCAGGGTTAAGTTGGTCAGCCAAGTCCTGGTAGATTCGGTCAATATCTGCGTTTGGGTAGGGAAAAGGATCTCGGCAAGGAAATTTTCTCACCTTCCGAAGAAGAAAAACGACCTGAAGAATCCAGCAAGGGACCAATATCGACGGTTTCATTCTTTCTTTTCTTTTCTTCTTTTAATCGGTGCGCTTTTGTGCGTAAGTAGACAATGAGCAGTAAACTTATCTAATCCACATAATCTTGGCTATAGAGCCTGATGGTGCTGTTTTTATCACCGAAACTCGGCATTTTTTGAAATAGATAGCTGAATTAAACAATGATACATCGTAAGTGACCCACAAGATAGAAAGCACAAATGGGAGATTTATGATTTGGCTAATTTGGCTGTTTGTAATTTGGCCAAAGACTGTTGTGCGGACAGAATAACCGTGCAAGTGTGAATTTCTTGGTGCTGACTCATATCAAACTTCCTTTCTTTTTGAGCACGTATGATGTGCGTCTATCAAATTCCGAATTCCGACTTTAATTCAAACAAAATTCTTCTTGATTTGCTATCCGCTTCGGAAAAGTTCCTGCGAAACTCACAACTTAATGCTCTCAAATTAAATGAGTGTATTCTCCCCAATACCGCACAACAGAGACTGTTGTGCGGACAGAATCAGCAACTAGCTGCGATTATCTGCACGTTTTGTGTGTCATCAAGAGTGTTGTACCGCTTTGACTTTAGTGCAAGCTCACTTGACGAATGTAGTCAGAGCAAATCTATCACGACTTTTTTACGTTGTTAATTATTCTAAATTTAGTACTCGTTACTCCTCCTTTCAGCATGCCCATCGAGCGAGGTTTACTTCAATCTTATATATAAAGCTGAATGTCTGTTTGTCTGTCTGTCTGTCTGTCTGTATGTCTGTCTGTATGTCTGTACGTATGTTCCGAATAGAAAATTTCATTTCTGAACCGATCCGGACCAAACTTGGCACACATACACTACGGGCCCCGGCGGGTGTCATAGGCTACTTTTCGTCATCGATCGATATCGATTTTATCGATTTTTATCGATTTTTTTGCTGAGTTCACCTACGGGGCTGGGAGTTGGCACAGGGGGGTAATCGAGCATGGGGATTCCGGATACAATATTGGTTTTCAGGATTATCGATTACTTTTATCGATTTTATCGATTTTTTTGCAAAGTTTGAGCTACGGGGCTGGGAGTTCGCACAGGGGGGTAATCGAGCATGGGGATTCCGAATACAATATTGGTTTTCAGGATTATCGATTACTTTTATCGATTTTATCGATTTTTTGCAAAGTTTGAGCTAGGGGGCTGGGAGTTGGCACAGGGGGGTAAACGAGCATGCTGATCACCCCCAAGGGGGGTGATCAGCATGCTCGATTACACTCCTGTGCCAAATTCCAGCCCCCTAGCTCAAATTTTCAAAAAATCGATAAAATCGAAAAAGTAATGGACGATCCTGAAAACTAATATTGTGTTCGTAATCTGCATGCTCGATTACCCCCCTGTGCAAACTCCCAGCCCCGCAGGTCAAACTTTACAAAAAAATCGATAAAATCGATAAAAGTAATGGACGATCCTGAAAACTAATATTGTGTTCGTAATCAGCATGCTCGATTACCCCCCTGTGCAAACTCCCAGCCCCGCAGGTCAAACTTTACAAAAAAAAATCGATAAAATCGATAAAAGTAATGGACGATCCTGAAAACTAATGTTGTATTCGGAATCCCCATGCTCACTTCCCCCCCTGTGCCAACTCCTAGCCCTGTAGGTGAACTCTGCAAAAAAATCGATAAAAATCGGTAAAATCGACATCGATCGATAACGAAAAGTGGACTGTGACACTTGCCGGGGCCCGAAGTGTATGTGTGCCAAGTTTGGTCCGGATACGGCGGAGCCGGGTAAGCCAGCTAGTTACCTCTAAAATACGCTTTGACAATCACGATGTTTCTAATGTGGTTTCAAGTTTCAAGCGAAAAAAATGAATAATAAGAGTTTAGGACATTTTCTCAGATTTTTGCGTAGTGCTAACTGAAGTCTGTTAGACCTTACGCTCTAACTCGCATTGTAAGGGCAGCCACAAATGGGGACCGATAACATATAAAACAGAACTGCCAAAAAGTGGTCAATTCTATTACTACAAATCATTCACAATTGGTATTTTGAAAGCAGCCTGGGAGCAAGCTGCGCTTAATGTCGCCTTCGTAACGCTTGATTTAAATTTTGAAACAAGTAGACTTTTCGAGCATCTACTTCCTTTCTACACATCACTTTAGCATATCATAAACTTACGTCACCGTTGCATGGAGGGTCTGTTCGTGGTAACTGACATAAAGGTTAAACAATCTTTATGCCAGCAGTGGAGTGAAATAAAAACGCAATGCGATAACATCAAAGCAACTCAGATCGATATGACGATACACAATGGATAGTATTATGGCTCAGAAAATAGAATAATACGAAGCAATTGTGAAGACTGTCGGCTTCGTATTCGGTTAAACGCGGACATAGGAGACGTTCTCACTGTGCGCGTACTGGTCACCTCGCTATGCTCTCACGATTACAGTTGATATGGGCGTTGTGAAAAGACAATATCCACGCGGAAACGCCTTATCACTGTGATGGTGCAAGTGAGCGCCCTCCCCCCCCCCCCGCGCGTAGTGGCCATAATCAGGCGAAAAATAGAGGCCGCAGAAACTGTAGTATACTTGAAGGCAACTACAAACGAATCTGAGCTTATGGAGATCGCATGCGGAAACCGATTTTAGCAGATCAGCTACTTTGCCTGGCAGACACTTTGCATCATGTCGCATCTGCTGCGTGGAGATCCACCGCCTTTGCGTGATTCAAGTCATCGCCAAACATGGCGGTGGGAACAGCTGCCTGACACTGCCTTCAAAATGTTCTTCAATCCTCAATAGAATTGATTTGCTCAAGAAACTTGCAAGCTTGAAGGCAGTGGGTCGGCAGAATGAGACCCGTGGCAAAAGAAGGTCACAGGGTAGGAGCCCCATTATGGAACCTATGGGCCAAAGTTCGATCTTTCTTTGCCAACTCTAACCCTCCGAAATTTCAAAGCGAAAGCAGCGCTCATCTCCTGTCCTCTCCGAACCCGCCCACTCCATGGACGAGTGACTTCCTCGGTCAGAGCGCCAGCCGCAATGCTATAAGCATGAGATCCCGCAACGACTCTGCGTCTTCGCCATGGCGGGCTTCGCGTTCACTCGTACATGGGGTGGGCGGGTTCGGAGAGGACAGGAGATGAGCGCTGCTTTCGCTTTGAAATTTCGGAGGGTTAGAGTTGGCAGAGAAAGATCGAACTTTGGCCCATAGGTTCCTTATGGGGGCTCCTACCCTGTGACCTTGTTTTTCAACGGGTCTCATTCTGCCCACCTACTGCCTTTAAGACTATCACTGCAGACTTTCTTACGCAACATACATGTATGTTCTTCTTTATTTTTTAACCATCAGACAGGCATGTTCAGTAAGTCTTCGCTCCTTTGTGAGAATGATAAGAGTATCATGTAGCTGCATCTGTGCAAGCATAGTAGAGATGAGATTTCAGGAATACAAAGACGAAAACAGGAAAAAGCGATATTCTATCTCATATTAAAAGATTTTAATTGCGGAATCAGAACTTCTTGGAAGGTTTTCACCACTGTGCTGCAGAACCTGTAGTTATCTGAAATTCACGTGCAGATATGGTATAACAAGAAAAGCCTCACCTCGCTCCAGCAATATTGATTTTGATTGGATGGACCATGATTTTTTCCGAATCGTAGAACTCATACCAGATACGACGGTAGTGGTAGGGTAGATAGACGAATCGACTTAGATCAGGCCTCAAGTAATAGCATCATTATATATCTCAGAACCTTCAAACGTAACAACAGAGAAGCGAGTATCCTACTTCGATAAGATGCTACATGTCTTTGTTAATAAGTTTGACTGTCCACCAAATTCTTATGAAGGGAATCCAGCCGATTGGTCGCGATGCTACGTGGGGCGTCCCAAGGTGACTGTTAATGGACTGATCGTTAATCCGAAGTGACCCTGCCCTTGCCCTTCTATAAGACTGGAACTGTGCATCTTGCCTCTTCTAGAATATGCATCCCCAGCATAGAATTCTTGTCTTAAAAAGCATTTAGAAGCTGGAAAAAGTGCGACAGACTTCTACAAGAATTGTTCTTTGTCGATATTACCCCCCCCCCCTCAGGGTCTGCTGCCTCAACGTGGCGAGGGGGTGCCCCTGGGTGTAACAAGAAGGTCCGGAATCACGCGTCAAACCAGCTAAAGCAGACCACCCCAGGTCATTATATCAGAGTCCGTTGCCACCTACCTGACAACGCCAGTCCAGTCGCGAGGAAGCAAAAACCGTCAGTGCCACTAAGGAGCGGCGACTACTCTGACACACCCCAAAACGCCCCAGCCCGACGATCTGGGGTATTGACGGGAAATTTTAATAGCTTTGTCGACTTTGAAATAATCGCCCCAGTACCCTGCTCACCGTGTTCGTCTGCCGCTTGGGACGTCGGATGGCAAGGCCGGCGAGGGGGCGAAGAAATCTCAGGCGCAAAAGCGAGACGTCCATAGAACTTTTCGGCAACAAAACGGATACGACAAGGCATGGAGGCTGTTTTCGGCTTTCCATTTACAACGCAAGGACGTTATTTTCAACCCAGGAGCTTTATGTTCTCCTAGACGCCGCAACTCGCATCAAATACGATGGAATTGCACAGGAATCCAAGAACAGAAGCTCAGCCACACTCAGGAAGGATGGAACCCTCGCCATACTAAGAGAGAAGGTTCCAACACGGAACGTCGGAGGAGTGAGCTTTGTCGTGCACCCATCCGTTAGCCACCTCGTCGACTCTTACGAAATGTCACCACGTCTAGCAGTCCTTCGACTTGCCGCTCCGCGTCAGAGGAAGATGAGCATCATCAACTGTTACTCACCTACAGAGGCAGCAGATGAAAGCGAACTTGACAAGTTCTACGAGGAGCCTGAAAACGCCATTTACAAGGAGAAGTCGTTCTATAAGGGACAGGCACAAGTCCAAGAAAATGACAGAATTGGAAAATTTAATCTGGGAAAACGAAACGAGAATGGAGACACACTCGTCGGACTCATCGCAGCGACTCGACTATTTCATGGGAATCCTTTTTTTCCAGAAGAAAGAACATCGCCGTTGGACATGGGAGTCACCGAAGGGCACGGCACATGCGGAAATCGACCGTATACTTGTCAATGGGAGATGGAGTTTGTCGATGTTAGAGTGGTCTCGTCGCTCTGCATAGGTCGGACCACTGACGAGCAAAGATTCGTATCATTCAGAGAATGGAAGGAAAATCTTCCCATTGTTCGAAGCTCAGAAGAGAGGTCGTGTACGACGAACGCATTATCGAGATCGCCATTGCCAGATTCGACTGGAAGGACCATGATGATCCAACAGAAGATCTAAGAAAGCTGATCGAAGGACTACGCAGTTGTGCTGAGCAGGCAATTTCACCGTTGAAAGAGGTAGTGGACGATTGACGAACAACACCAAGAAGCTTCTAAGAAAAGGAGAAGTCTGCATGCAGATCTAAATACACCACACCTGGAGCAAGAGCTGATTAACAACATTTGCAGGAAGACCGTGCAAGAGGGTGTGAAACGATATCGACGGATGAAACTACCGAAGCAGCACAGAACAGGAAAAGTTTGAAAAAATGTCGAAGAGATCTACGCGAACACGAACCTACCGATACAAGCTCTACTGAGCAAAGACCGAAGATTAGTAAACTCTCGGCGCGAAATGGAAGCGACAACGGAAGATTTCTACAACGAGCTCTTTTTGTCCAAGACGCCACTACCAGATCCTGCCATTCCCACTGGAGAACAACCGCCAAGGATTCTCCCCTCAGAATTTAGGGCCAAATAGCAATCGCAGACACGTATCAAGACGTTCATGGATGACGATTGCCCGCAACCCCACAAAAGGTCAAAAGTTGGGGCCCGCGCGACGAGCGAGGACGGGCCATCTAAGTGATTTAACTAAGTAAGATATTACCCAAATTCGAAATAGCCTCACTACTACCGTCTTACAAATCACGTCTTACCAGCTTGGGATTGCGCAACCTTAATTGTAGAGGGTTTTCAACGACTTAGTCTTTTGCTTTCGAATTTTCAAGTTAGACACGAGAGTAAAGCCCGGTAATTTCTGGGTATTCAGATCTTGTAGAAATCGCACTGGGGGTTTCGGCTTATGTTACCGAAAGCTAGGCAGCAAGATATTTACCATCGCTTTTAATTCTTTTGTGTGCCGCACGGCCAGATGGATCGAGCTGTTATCGAAAGAACTAATTTCTTGCAATATTACAGCGAAAAAAAATTAGATTCCGTCAATGTTTTGGAAAATTTGGGAATTCCGGAAGTTTAGAGCTTAGGCTTCAAGGTGACTCGAATGGTTCATTTCTTTGCTCACTTTCATTCTCCATATCTGCCAGTCATAGTCATAGCACTTGAAAATTTCAAAGATCTACTAGGCTGTTTCAAAAGTTCTGTCCGACTTTCAGTTGCCTTTTCTAACGCAGCTATTTTCTTAGGATTTTGCATTTATGGCATTGCCATAAGCATCATCTGGAAGCACTTTTCCTGCTCTTCCTAATGCTCACTGATGCTTGGCGAATCAACTTTCCAGTGATGAAATTTCAAGTCCCAAAGCAAAGTTGTCAAAATGCTGTCATGTCCAAGAAAAGTTTCCATGATGAGAACTTGCGCAGTGTTCGTAAAACTAAATATCTAATATTTTGTAATGGGTGAGGGTGTGATAAGCTAAACTAAGCACACTTTACCTTCGACGCAGAGAATGTTTTGCTTTTTCGATTATTTAGATAGAAAACAAACTCAGTTATTCAACAAGCGACAACAATCTACGTTTAGCGACAGGTGACGCATTCTATATTGCATATGTAAAGTAAAGCGTGAGCAAGCAGGAACCATCGGCCAACTGGCTTTTTTTTGTTTGCGACAGCAAGAAAATATCAAATATCGGAAAGCGGCTTATTTTCGCACGCGGAAGGCTTAAATAAGGGTTTTTTAAAATTTGCTCGCAAAAATTTCGATGCCGCCAAGATAAGTCAAATTTTCTTTAGTCGTAAAAGAACCTCTGTAGCTGCTCAATGATGGCAGCCAAATATGTCTGTCCACTCTCATATGAAAGCATTGAATTAGACAAATGGAGTTTGGAAGAAAACCTCGCAGAATTCGAAAAATTTTTTCCTTCTATTTCGCTCGCCTTTCTTGAATGGCATGCAGCCTGTGATAGCCATAAACTCGCTTAATTCAATAAAATTTGATTTGTTCAAAATTGTTAATTTTGGAAAAAGTTATAAAAATTTGGATGAAAAAATTGCAAGTCGGACAGAACTTTAAAACAACCTAGTATTTTGCATTCCTCTTTCGATCTTCTTGTGAATCAGCAGCAATGCTGGTTTTTTGATTTTCGTTCTTTATGGTGTTCTAACTATGTCAGCACCGCAAAAGTATCTCTTCGCATAAACTAGTCGTTTAAGGAGCTCTGAAGTTGGAAAGCCCCCAACCTTAATGTCCCTCTTCCCATTCGCCCAGGGTTTCTGAAGGATTCGTCCGCCCAGGGTTAAGTTGGTCAGCCAAGTCCTGGTAGATTCGGTCAATATCTGCGTTTGGGTAGGGAAAAGGATCTCGGCAAGGAAATTTTCTCACCTTCCGAAGAAGAAAAACGACCTGAAGAATCCAGCAAGGGACCAATATCGACGGTTTCATTCTTTCTTTTCTTTTCTTCTTTTAATCGGTGCGCTTTTGTGCGTAAGTAGACAATGAGCAGTAAACTTATCTAATCCACATAATCTTGGCTATAGAGCCTGATGGTGCTGTTTTTATCACCGAAACTCGGCATTTTTTGAAATAGATAGCTGAATTAAACAATGATACATCGTAAGTGACCCACAAGATAGAAAGCACAAATGGGAGATTTATGATTTGGCTAATTTGGCTGTTTGTAATTTGGCCAAAGACTGTTGTGCGGACAGAATAACCGTGCAAGTGTGAATTTCTTGGTGCTGACTCATATCAAACTTCCTTTCTTTTTGAGCACGTATGATGTGCGTCTATCAAATTCCGAATTCCGACTTTAATTCAAACAAAATTCTTCTTGATTTGCTATCCGCTTCGGAAAAGTTCCTGCGAAACTCACAACTTAATGCTCTCAAATTAAATGAGTGTATTCTCCCCAATACCGCACAACAGAGACTGTTGTGCGGACAGAATCAGCAACTAGCTGCGATTATCTGCACGTTTTGTGTGTCATCAAGAGTGTTGTACCGCTTTGACTTTAGTGCAAGCTCACTTGACGAATGTAGTCAGAGCAAATCTATCACGACTTTTTTACGTTGTTAATTATTCTAAATTTAGTACTCGTTACTCCTCCTTTCAGCATGCCCATCGAGCGAGGTTTACTTCAATCTTATATATAAAGCTGAATGTCTGTTTGTCTGTCTGTCTGTCTGTCTGTATGTCTGTCTGTATGTCTGTACGTATGTTCCGAATAGAAAATTTCATTTCTGAACCGATCCGGACCAAACTTGGCACACATACACTACGGGCCCCGGCGGGTGTCATAGGCTACTTTTCGTCATCGATCGATATCGATTTTATCGATTTTTATCGATTTTTTTGCTGAGTTCACCTACGGGGCTGGGAGTTGGCACAGGGGGGTAATCGAGCATGGGGATTCCGGATACAATATTGGTTTTCAGGATTATCGATTACTTTTATCGATTTTATCGATTTTTTTGCAAAGTTTGAGCTACGGGGCTGGGAGTTCGCACAGGGGGGTAATCGAGCATGGGGATTCCGAATACAATATTGGTTTTCAGGATTATCGATTACTTTTATCGATTTTATCGATTTTTTGCAAAGTTTGAGCTAGGGGGCTGGGAGTTGGCACAGGGGGGTAAACGAGCATGCTGATCACCCCCAAGGGGGGTGATCAGCATGCTCGATTACACTCCTGTGCCAAATTCCAGCCCCCTAGCTCAAATTTTCAAAAAATCGATAAAATCGAAAAAGTAATGGACGATCCTGAAAACTAATATTGTGTTCGTAATCTGCATGCTCGATTACCCCCCTGTGCAAACTCCCAGCCCCGCAGGTCAAACTTTACAAAAAAATCGATAAAATCGATAAAAGTAATGGACGATCCTGAAAACTAATATTGTGTTCGTAATCAGCATGCTCGATTACCCCCCTGTGCAAACTCCCAGCCCCGCAGGTCAAACTTTACAAAAAAAAATCGATAAAATCGATAAAAGTAATGGACGATCCTGAAAACTAATGTTGTATTCGGAATCCCCATGCTCACTTCCCCCCCTGTGCCAACTCCTAGCCCTGTAGGTGAACTCTGCAAAAAAATCGATAAAAATCGGTAAAATCGACATCGATCGATAACGAAAAGTGGACTGTGACACTTGCCGGGGCCCGAAGTGTATGTGTGCCAAGTTTGGTCCGGATACGGCGGAGCCGGGTAAGCCAGCTAGTTACCTCTAAAATACGCTTTGACAATCACGATGTTTCTAATGTGGTTTCAAGTTTCAAGCGAAAAAAATGAATAATAAGAGTTTAGGACATTTTCTCAGATTTTTGCGTAGTGCTAACTGAAGTCTGTTAGACCTTACGCTCTAACTCGCATTGTAAGGGCAGCCACAAATGGGGACCGATAACATATAAAACAGAACTGCCAAAAAGTGGTCAATTCTATTACTACAAATCATTCACAATTGGTATTTTGAAAGCAGCCTGGGAGCAAGCTGCGCTTAATGTCGCCTTCGTAACGCTTGATTTAAATTTTGAAACAAGTAGACTTTTCGAGCATCTACTTCCTTTCTACACATCACTTTAGCATATCATAAACTTACGTCACCGTTGCATGGAGGGTCTGTTCGTGGTAACTGACATAAAGGTTAAACAATCTTTATGCCAGCAGTGGAGTGAAATAAAAACGCAATGCGATAACATCAAAGCAACTCAGATCGATATGACGATACACAATGGATAGTATTATGGCTCAGAAAATAGAATAATACGAAGCAATTGTGAAGACTGTCGGCTTCGTATTCGGTTAAACGCGGACATAGGAGACGTTCTCACTGTGCGCGTACTGGTCACCTCGCTATGCTCTCACGATTACAGTTGATATGGGCGTTGTGAAAAGACAATATCCACGCGGAAACGCCTTATCACTGTGATGGTGCAAGTGAGCGCCCTCCCCCCCCCCCCCCCGCGCGTAGTGGCCATAATCAGGCGAAAAATAGAGGCCGCAGAAACTGTAGTATACTTGAAGGCAACTACAAACGAATCTGAGCTTATGGAGATCGCATGCGGAAACCGATTTTAGCAGATCAGCTACTTTGCCTGGCAGACACTTTGCATCATGTCGCATCTGCTGCGTGGAGATCCACCGCCTTTGCGTGATTCAAGTCATCGCCAAACATGGCGGTGGGAACAGCTGCCTGACACTGCCTTCAAAATGTTCTTCAATCCTCAATAGAATTGATTTGCTCAAGAAACTTGCAAGCTTGAAGGCAGTGGGTCGGCAGAATGAGACCCGTGGCAAAAGAAGGTCACAGGGTAGGAGCCCCATTATGGAACCTATGGGCCAAAGTTCGATCTTTCTTTGCCAACTCTAACCCTCCGAAATTTCAAAGCGAAAGCAGCGCTCATCTCCTGTCCTCTCCGAACCCGCCCACTCCATGGACGAGTGACTTCCTCGGTCAGAGCGCCAGCCGCAATGCTATAAGCATGAGATCCCGCAACGACTCTGCGTCTTCGCCATGGCGGGCTTCGCGTTCACTCGTACATGGGGTGGGCGGGTTCGGAGAGGACAGGAGATGAGCGCTGCTTTCGCTTTGAAATTTCGGAGGGTTAGAGTTGGCAGAGAAAGATCGAACTTTGGCCCATAGGTTCCTTATGGGGGCTCCTACCCTGTGACCTTGTTTTTCAACGGGTCTCATTCTGCCCACCTACTGCCTTTAAGACTATCACTGCAGACTTTCTTACGCAACATACATGTATGTTCTTCTTTATTTTTTAACCATCAGACAGGCATGTTCAGTAAGTCTTCGCTCCTTTGTGAGAATGATAAGAGTATCATGTAGCTGCATCTGTGCAAGCATAGTAGAGATGAGATTTCAGGAATACAAAGACGAAAACAGGAAAAAGCGATATTCTATCTCATATTAAAAGATTTTAATTGCGGAATCAGAACTTCTTGGAAGGTTTTCACCACTGTGCTGCAGAACCTGTAGTTATCTGAAATTCACGTGCAGATATGGTATAACAAGAAAAGCCTCACCTCGCTCCAGCAATATTGATTTTGATTGGATGGACCATGATTTTTTCCGAATCGTAGAACTCATACCAGATACGACGGTAGTGGTAGGGTAGATAGACGAATCGACTTAGATCAGGCCTCAAGTAATAGCATCATTATATATCTCAGAACCTTCAAACGTAACAACAGAGAAGCGAGTATCCTACTTCGATAAGATGCTACATGTCTTTGTTAATAAGTTTGACTGTCCACCAAATTCTTATGAAGGGAATCCAGCCGATTGGTCGCGATGCTACGTGGGGCGTCCCAAGGTGACTGTTAATGGACTGATCGTTAATCCGAAGTGACCCTGCCCTTGCCCTAATAAGCAAGCGTCCGGGAAACGGACTCGTCTCCCAAAAGCTGCACAGTTATTTCTGGGTAGGTGCGAAAAAGGAGGGCTCTGATCGCCTCTAACGATTAAGCTCATCTTTCCTTGCGGGGGTCAAGCTCAACAAGCTATTTCCTGCGAGTAACTTAAGCGTTGAACACAGTGATGTGATGGAAAGCTTCCTTACTTGGAGCCACTGTTTAGGCGTCAGATAAAGCAAGGTCTAAAGGGCGACCTAGGCCGCCGAAAAGACGAATGATGATGACGATTTGTACTCACAACGCAGGACGCTCGCATCGGACGCATTCATCGAAGAACTCAAATGCAAGCAAGGAAGACTAAGTACATCAAGTACCTTCATCGGACTGACGGAGAGCGACACCACTGCTCAACGCCACGTTTTAACTGGACCAGAACTTTTTTAGGGACGTGCGTCAGCGCAAAAGTCGACCGTAATCCTACAGTATGAGTTTGGCCGTAAATATAAGTTCATTTAACAGCTAACAACCCGAATCAGATGACTACGAATATGAAGGATTGGTTTAGTCTTGTCGTTCTTTATTGCGTACGATCAAGTTACTTAGTCGAGGCTTTATAATGCATACGGATTTAGAGAGGTTCTACAGAGAAGAGCACATCTTCTTCAAGGTCATGGTTGGTGACTTTGACGCGAGTGATGCGAGAAGGTCTTTTGCAGAGCTTTACACCTCGGACTATTTTGAAATGAGCAAGAAGAGAGATTTTCTGGGTTTATCATGGCAACGAGGATCATCCATGGATAATCACAATTCCAAAAATCATTTTCTTGATGCTGGACCTTGGAGTGACCTGGTGAAGAGCCACAACGAGATTCATCACATCATCGTCAACAGGAGTAGTCAAATGACATCACAGTTGTTCCGAAACCCTATGAAATCAGACAACTGTTTTTTGTCAAGTTCTTCTTTTCACGGAACGAAGAGAGAGCCTTCAAGTTCAGAAAAATATCGTCCCACGGGTACCACCAAGTAAAATCTGTTCTTCTCGGCATCCCGCTTTTAGCGAGATGTCGTGATCAACACCACCAGCGAAATATACGAATCTTCCACCATCTCCACTGTTTCAAGCAAGCTGAGAGTCTAAGTAAGAAAAAGCAACGGAGACTTTAAAGCTGATACGCCAACAATACAGCAGAGCGATAAAAGAGGAACTCAAGCAGAGAAAAGTACAAGTACTGGCTGACGCAGCGACGCTGGAAGAAGTATACGCAAGCCCGCCGAAGCTTCGCCAAATTCAAGATCAAGAAGGCTTCGCCGTCCTAATGGAACCACAACCTCTTCCCGGTCGATGGCAAAGGTATCCACGATTTCTTCAAACCTCTTTGCGAGCTACGTCCAACTTCACCATGCCATGCAAAGAGGATAACTATTGCACCATTAGTTCTTCCTTTAGAGGTTCGATATGTTATTATGTCAGTGAAAAACCATATATAAGCTGTCCCGATAGGGTCAAATTGGAACATCTGAAGAATCTCGCATTGCCCAAAGTAAGACAAGCAGAAGATAAAGGAATGATTGTATTCTTTTTGATTCAATTCAAACTATTTAATTTTGAAGCTAAGGCTATAGCAGCAGTGTAGCTTCCCCTTATCAATAACTGACAAGAATGCTTCCAAAAAAATCTTACAAGGAAAATATTTGAAAGCGCGAAGTGTTTTACTTATTATTATCACGTACAATAGCTATTTTTTCAAAAGTATGCATTCATTTGCGCTCAAATTCTAGCTAAAAAAGTGAACTCAACAAAATTTTGATTCTGAGCGCCATGTTTCAACTTCTGCAAAACGTCAAGTATGGAAGCCTGTTAGAGCCTCATTTAGAAAGCGCATGAAAGGAGTTTTCATGCTTTCGAAATCTGCCTGAAAAAAACTTGGGAAAAAAGTCGTACGGGAAGAGCTCAATTCTGCATCAAGCTGATATTATGTTCTTTATTGAGAACACATTTTCATTTTAATTTGTTAAGTAGCCCAAATTTCTTGTGCAAACTTGTTTTCAGTATATGTCACTATGTAGTAAAAATTCAAATGTGATTGTGATTCGAAGAAAGGACTTAATGTGTTGCTAACAACGAGAATATATACTACCTGATGTGCAGGACAGTCTGCAGAATCTTCATCATTGTGAGCTCGACAAACACACCAGCTTCGAAGAACACTTCAATGACCTCTGCGATATAGACCAATCTTTTTTGGGGGACATAAAAACTGAACTCATAAGCTTAGCAGCTTAAGTTGGCAATTCTGATCCAAACTTACAAATCACTTAGCGTTTTGCTAGTGTCACGAGCAATGTGAACAAGCGCATCTTCATTATAACCATTCTCAATCAGCTAAAAAGACAATAATGAGATACCGTACCTTCCACATATTAGGACATGCACCGGACAAATGTACGCTGCAGGGTTATTCAGTCACAAAATTGCATTTTTCGAGCGTTAACTTACTTTGCTCCGCCTTTAATCGTCAGCATTCTACCATTGCACCCACGTGTGCTAGTCGACTGTTCATAAAGCTTCAACTAATGTGTTCTGTATAACACACATCAAGAGGCGCTATTTCGCCTCAGGCTACTGTAAAGCCTACGAACCACTGATACATTTGGTGCATCGGCTAAAACCAGACCGATACCATGCGCTCCCAAGGACAAAACAAAGGCCACAATGGAGCAATGATCACTCTGTATCGCCAAATGGAAGATGTGAAGATGAACGCCAAGAGACTAGCGGAACCACTACGAAAGTACGCGAGCCATGGTGAGACAATTATACTTCCAGACGATGAACAAGAGCGACAAAAAGTATGCATCGACAAACTGCGCGTACTACCAACCTGCATCTTCGACATCCTCCTGGGATTACACTTGGTACGATCGAAAAGCGAAGTACTAAGGAAGCTGCACCAAAGCGAGAAGTGTAAACTTACAAAGCAAGTGATAGCACAAGATTTGGATACATTCAACAAAGAGATAAGTCACTTCCAAATCGCTACTAATGCCCAGATGTTTATTGACACACTAGAAGAACGTGAAACTGATGCAAAAATAGAACTGGAAAACATAGGACTCAGGAAATATTTCTCCGCAATAAGATGTGAAAGTAGGAATGAGCAGATGTTGCCCAGAAATCAGACGGGTAGCAAAATTTTGGCAGAACTAGACGCTACCTCAACTGATACGCCAACGATGAAAGAAGCAATTCCAACAATTGAAGATGAAAACGAAAGTGACGAGGGCAAAGACGAAACTCCCAACTGCAAATTCTCGGCCTGTGGAGATCCCATGCATAACATAACAGCATGTCAAGTTATTGCCACCCCAGCCCTGATACAGGTCACGACGCCTAAGGCAACTGCTCGGAAGATCGTCGGCAAAGAACATTACAACAACAGGACCTCAGCTGCACCGATATGGAGGGAACAAAGCTGGACCTCTATTGTGTCCCAATTGACAACGTTAATGTGGATTTACTTCACTATCAGCATCCAATTTTCACATCAACTTCTCCACAAGATCGTGCCCTCCACCGTACCACCTCTAGCATGGGCTATATTTTCACCTGTCTGCCAACTCGACAACGTCCAGTGCGATATCCCGACAAAGAAAGCAGTTCTGATATATGTACATATTATTCTCGTGTTTCATCTTGTCGTTCTCATTTCTCCTGCTGGCCGGAGTGTGCCGACATTGTCGGCACTTCCTTACAGCCGTGCCATTCCTCGCCAGATTACCGTAAAGGTCATGCCATAAGCATGACCTGCTGTGATATGAGTGTGTCTATTGCCCAGATGAGCGTCAACTTACTTTGCTCCGCCTTTAATCGTCAGCATTCTACCACTGCACCCACGTGTGCTAATCGACTGTTCATAAAGCTTCAACAGCTAATGTGTTCTGTATAACACACATCAAGAGGCGCTATTTCGCCTCAGGCTACTGTAAAGCCTACGAACCACCGATACATTCTTCCTCAATATACGAAGTTCAAAAATCTTCCTTTCAAGCTTCATGACTGTAACGTTTAGTGAAAGGCTATTCCTTTCTGAAATCGAGATATGTGGAGCTACTGCGTACCGGCAGAAGGGGAAATAATTTTGAATTTAAGCGTTATTATGAAAAACTTAGACTGTGAATTAGAAGTTTTGCCACCTCCACATTTGCATTTGGATGTATGAAAAATCTTATTTTAGTACCCTAACAAAATTATTTTGACCATGCTTATTATAATATTCATTGCACCTTCTTTTTCCCCATTGTATTTAATCTATATAAAAAGATGAATGTCTGTTAGTCCGTTTGTATGTATCTGTGTGTATGCAGACTCCGAACAGAAAAATAGAAAATTTCCATTTCCAAACCGATCCGAGATAAACTCTGCACGCACACACACATCGGCTCGTAGGGGCTGCCGTGGGCTACCTTCGTTGTCTAACGATGTCTTCCGATTTCTGGCGAGTTTTGAGCTACGGGGCTGGGAGTTAGTACAGGAAGGTAAGTGAGCATGCTACGAATACAATATTACCTTTTCAGATCGTCTAAAAAATTTCTTAGAAACTCGCACTAGCATACGTCTTTATTTTCGATATCAGATATTCAGATTCGCAGTTTCTGTGTCATTTTTTTATTAGAAACTAAGAAAACAAAAGTTTTCGTGTCTTTTAAAGTAATGTTAAGCCGCTCTCACATAAGTGAATTTATACTACAAGCTAAGTAAGTATAACTGCAAATTTTCAGCCTATTCCGAGCGATAGTCTTCGAGATATATCAATTTTAGCTTTTTTCTCCTCACATTCAGTTTCAGTGCTAAATTCGACATTTCTCGAAAACTACCTCACGGATTAGGCCGAAAATCTATTGTTCTATAGATTAGAATCTATATTCAACTAGGCTGATAGTATAAAATTACTTATGTGAGAGGGGCTCAGCTTTGCTTTGAGAAAACTCGAAGGTTTTCGTTTTCTCAGTTCCTGGTCAAGAAAAAATGCAGCAACTGCGCATATGAATGTCTGGTATTGAAAGTATAGATGTATGCAATTGGGAGGTTTCCAGGAATTCTTTGAACGGAAATCCGATTTTTTTCGATTTTTTTGGGCATTAGAGACTCTTCAAATTTTGAGTTCAAACTTTCCATAGATTGAACTTAGTTCAGCCTTATAAATGCCATCTTGTAAAGCTTGCTTTGCTCTATCAAACAATGCCCCTCGACCGTTCTTGGTTTGAGGCTGATTATCTTGCTAAAAAGTAGCAAGAAAACAGCATTAACTTTCTGACGGCCTAATATCATGCTTGCTTAATACCACAGTAACACCAATAGGTAATTTGATATTGCTTATTCCAATCAAGATATCGCAAAAACTCCCAGATGAAAGGGTAGGGGGTGACTATGCTATAGCCTACCGTTTTTTAGTTTTTGAAGGTGTCAGCGTCAATGTGTACTTTACAGGCTTACCCCTTTTTGGTAACAGGCTAAGATTCTTTTGATTTTATTGTTTACTCTCGACATTTCTTCAAAAATGCGAGATGCACGCTTTGTCGCTCTCTTTCCTGAACACATCATTGTAAATGCACATGTAGCTACTCGTAAGAGAAAGTAACCATATCTTGAAGTCCACCACCAGTTTCTTTGAAACAGTTCACCTCCGTCAACGGGAAACAGAATCTCGCTCAAATCAAGCTTGTGCCAAAAGTTGAAGATGGCGTCATCCCCAGCCAGGAAATATCCTAAGATCCTAATAGTTTTTAACACATACTAGGAAGTACAACACCTCACCTTTTACATTTCGCAGATTAAGCTCCTTGGCTTTTGAGAGGCAGTAGTTGAAAAAGATCCCCTTCATCAGCTCTACACGAGAAATGTGGATGTAGTTGAATGGAAAAATGATTTCCGGAAACTCCCCTGAACTACGTTTTGAAAATGTTTCTATGTTTGGTGTGTTTTGTGACTTGAATTTATAAATCTGAGTCAAGTCCTAATTTGAGAATTCGTAACTTTCGGTTTTCTCTCTCGGTCATGCCAAACACTATAACCATACAGGTATATAAATCTCGCAAAGATCTTATTAAAGCTCTAAAACCTTCATCCTTGTACTCCAAGGGACTATAGCTTCCACAGAAAATCGTAATGCCAAAATACGGTTGATATAACCGCTGCAAAAGCCCAATGCCTTTCTTGCGCTGGTGATTGTTGACGATTATTAGTGCCTAAACAAGAGTGGTACGTTATAATAGTGACGTTCAACCTTGACCGTATTGATACATTAAACATATAGATAAACGAAGCAAAAGTGGAAAGAGACATCTTTAGATTTCTTGATCACTGCGAAGCTCCACAGCCATATGTCAAAAAAAGAATTTTCACCAAAGGAGATCAACCTGTGATTAAGTCTAGATAAAATTGTTCGTTTATATTGCTTTGAAATCTATCGCGCTCAACAGCGACAACATGGTTTTATACCATGCTTAAAGTACACATCTTTGCGCTAGATCACCAGACACCCGAGACCACTATGACCTTTCCAAATGAGATGTTTACGGACATACTAATCTTGAAACCTGATCACATGTTTATGTTCGCTATCTTTGGAGGTGCCCTACACAAGAAGTCACAGACTTTTTTTTTCTAATAGATGCGCTACTAGATACTCAACCGTCAGTGCTAGACAAGTCGCAGCTTTATGCTCCCGAGCAGCATCAGTGACAAAACACTATCACAAGGCCAATTTTTAATTCGAAAAAAGCAAGAAATTCTCGCAACGTCCATTACAACCTCTGCAGCAGTGCAATGTGCCATCAAAAACTTCACGACTTTTCTCAGAAGATCGCGGAGATAGCGAGAAAAATCAGCGTTTGAGAAGAGTGTTTTTGTACATATATACTCATAGATTGTTTCAATTAGTTTTGTTTTACAAAAGATAAGACTCACGTTATTTAGACGCGTTCTTAGAGTAGCTTCATAGTCGCGTGAAACTTGGCCTTTAGTCGACCCATTATAAGCAGTCTCTATGAGTGATTCCAATAAACAGGAAGGAAAATCTTTCTTTATATTTGCTAATAAACCTACCGCTATAGCAGTGCGCTTTAGCACACCATTTGCTCAGATCACTGAGTGTCTTTTTCCTCCAATTACGTAATTTATTCTATATTCCAGAACAGTTTATCAGTCAGCCAGCTACGGCATCAAATAATTACCATGTTAGCAGCTGAAAAGTTTGGGAAGTAGATGCTTGAACGTCTACAGTTCTGCCTTCTGGATGGCTCGTCCAGTAAGTAAAGACAGTCAAAATTTGGCTCATGAACTGAAGGGAATCTGTACCTAAAATGCAGTTTTGTGATAACATTGTCCATTAGTAGCAATTCGCTTCAGACAGTGTGTCAAAATCTGCTTTAGACAGTTTATCAGTACGACATTACCCAAACTTCTGTTTCACTTCTCAATTCTAACTCTTTGAAACTTAAAACTCTGTCCTAATTTCACGAGTGCAAGGTGCACCTTTTTCGAAGCAAGCAGTTCGGCCGCACCAGGACATCGAGAAATAATCTCTTTCTACACAATTCTTCTCAGTAGGGAACAGTACGATAGTGGGTCTTTTGGCCTCGAAATTTTCTGATGTATTGAGGCTGGTTGAGTATAGAAAAAAACCGGTGCGTCTTGTACTTGTGGAATTGGCTTCTTTAGTCAGTTCTGTTAACTTATGCTTACGAGATTTTGCTGAGTTCTTTCACCCAGTAGGAGGTTAGTAAGAGCCAGTCTTCATCCAGATAGCGTTTATCTCTGAAATTGCAAGTGCAAAGTTGAACCGAATTCTTTGAGCAGAGAATTTCACAACATACACAAACTCCTCTATTAGCAGCACCATGCAATCAGGTAATTTACTATGTGGACATTTCCAGGAACGAAGAAAAGCAGATACATTGATCAACTCTGGTGTTCTATAACACAAAAATTTCTATGAGAAGAATGCAGGTGCTTTTACCTGTGATCGATTTTTGCATCACCATAACCACTGCTTGTATTCGATTCTATCGGATAGAATGCAAGGCTGCTATTGGCGAGGTTTAAGAGCTTTTGAGCCAACAGCAAACGTATGAATGTTTCTTCTCTTGAACAAAGATATTGCCAGCAAGTGCTTGAAACCTCTACTTACCGAGACCCTGCTACACTTAGAATAGGAAGAATAAAAAATGACTCATAACGATAGAGAGTATGCTTGGGTACCCACAATGAATAAGTTCCTGAAATAAAAGGTTCTGTTTTTTCAATGGCAAAAACCATCTGACAGAACGAAAAAACACTAATTTTAGTGCTTTCTGAACATGTTTTACACCATCCGGTTTCAGGGCTCAGAACTGTACCGGTAGTGAAACATAATGCTTCTCGTTAGGAGTTTTCTACAGAGCTACAAAAATTGCAAAAGGGGGAACTTTACGTCTAAACAGGGAAGGATACTTGGTCACGCCGGTCATTCATAATGGTTTGCATATCAAAAAACGCGCCTTTTAATGCTGGTTGGAGGAGCGAAGGTAGTGACTATGAATAAAGAGTTGGCATTGTCGAACTGATTAGTGCCAACTCTTTATTCATTGTCAACACCTTCGCTCCTACCCTCCCCCCTTTTCCATATCTACGAAACGAGAACCTGGACGTAGTTATAATTATTTTTTTCAAAAATGAGTTGCTCCACTGCGAAAGGTGAAAATCATGAATAAAAACTTTTCTTTCCTCTTCAAATGCTGAATATGATTTAGATAGGTATAAATACTAAGTACACCTTTCAAGATTCTCCTCAGTAGCTTCCACGATAAAATAGACCAAATTGGGTGATTTTAACTACCTAAAAGTATGCAAATTTTTTACGAAAAAATTCATAATTGCCTTCATATAATCGTTTCGCAGATTTCGAGCACAGATTTAGAATTTCGAGTTGCACCTTATGGTATACATCGCATACCAACATGGCCGGGGTCACCAATTATCCTTTCCGATATGAGAACTTATAAAAAACTTTTGAACTAAACTAACTAACTAACTTTTAACCTTCAAAAAAAACTTGACTTTTCATGTAAACTTTGCCCATTTTCGTCTCATTCTCACATCTTGCTTTTGTTATGTAGAGGATTACGAACTTAAAGCAGGATTCGAGAATGAAACCCAGAATAAACGAAAATAAAATTCTATTGAAATAAAAATTAAATTTTAAAGACAAAAAACCCCATTCTAGAAACAATAATCTTAATTCTATTACCGCTATTTATGTCATTGTTGCGTAAATTGTCTATTTCCGTTTGCGCGCATTTTCCTCCTCCGTGATTTTACCTTTAAACGCTCTTTTTGTAATTCAGAAAGTCGCTGCATCCTGGACATCTTCAGCCGCAGCTGAAGACATCGAGGATGCAACGACAGTAAGCAACCGATTGCGAATTTTTCTTTGGGTTTTCATAGTATTAGGTTTTTGGGCGTTTCAGCCTAATTTACTCGCACAACATTTACTGCTTGCTCTTTCGTTCTTGATTACTGTTTCGCTTGATGAAAACGAATGGAAGCAGCATCAATCTATAGAACGAAATAACGCTCATACTTGTACCCCTTTTAATGTTTGGAACTTTTTCAATCACAAGATCAAGCGAAATACAAAAATGTGGTGAAAACGATCAAGATCCACTGTATAAACTGAATATAAATATCGCTCAACAGTAGTTGTATAAACTGTTAATAAAGTATTTGAAATCGTTATTTCGTGCCCTCAAACCCGCATACGGGCGGCTGCAGCGAATGCAGCGCAGTTCCGGCACAGTTCTCGCACTGTGCTGGAAATATTCCGAAACTTCGGGATTAGTATGAACCCAGCCGAAGAATGAACTGATTTTGTTATTTGGGGCTCAATTGATAATAGGATAATGGAAAACAGCCTGGAAAGTGAAACTTTGCAACCGCTTTTCATGTTGGAGGCCAAATTTCATTAGTGAGCTCTGAGCAAAACTTGTTGTTAGCGCTCAATTTAGCTCTACGCATTTTCATAAGTCTGAAACTCCTGCTTAAAGGCAGTGGCTCGGCAAATTCTCGACCTGAAGTTTTTTTTGCTTACCTGGGATAATTCGACGCCCTGATTTCGAAAACACACTTTAAAGAGCACAAAATGTTGAAAACCAGCAATTTCCAAGGTTTTTCACTTTAAATTTGGCCGAGTGGACCACTCCCCGCAATGGTTAGAGATGTAGAGTCGTTGCCGGACCCTCATGTTCAAAGCATTGAGGCATGCCGCCTCTGACCATGGGAAGGGGACCGTAACCTCGTCTGAGCGCGTGTAAGAATGGCTTGCGCGCACGAGTTTAGGGGCAGTTTTCTATTCAGGCGCAGTATGTGGTGCGCTCGGATCTGCTCCGTTCTGTTATTTGGGATGCAAGCAACCTTCCATATTGAAATTTCGAGATGTTTGGTTTTGCAGAGCCACTGTCTTTAAGGAAAGATAATGCATCGCTAAGCATTAGCAGCAGCGGTTGACAATTCTATCGTTCGTCTTGCACTACACCCATCTCACCAACAGCTATGGTCAAGGGAGCGACAATGCGGTCCTTTTCGATAACTAGGCCTTCTTGAACTGCAGCAAATGGTAAATCCCGACATAGTAGAAGGCTGATGCTTTTGTCAAACTGACCCTAAAAATACATAGCGCTCAACAGTTTGTTTTACCTTCCATCCACACTTGCGAACACACCCTGGATATAGTTTCCATTGATGAAGTCATGAAATGCTGTCCCTCGAAGTATGCGTACGGGTCGAAAAGTCCACCACTGCAAATGTAATGTCATTGAGCGGCAGGAATTTGGTCGAAGTTTCAAGATGACTCGCAGATACAGCGAACAAAGGTTGGTTCTTTCTATTAGGTGAATTCAAAAGTTCGTACCGTCTTTTATCTATCCTCAGATCATTCAGAATAGCGACAGACAAACACTCTTAGCATTTTCCTACGCAAAATTTCTATCCCCTCACAGAAGTCATGTTTTTGTTCGTATGTCTCTAATTTTCTTTCGATAATCGCCCAATCTTCAATATATGCATTTTATGTTCCCCAAGTTTAGCTATTCTCTGAATTTTTGTTTTGGATTTTTGAAAAAGCTTTGGTAACAGTTGGATAGAGTAAACAAAATGCTACAAAACCATGTTTTGGCATCGATAGCTGGCTTTTAATTATTTTCAAAAACAAGTTCCCAAGTGTCTTCACAGTTACGAAGTCGTAAAATATACAAAAGCTTTGAATACTATGAAATCTTCGCAAATCGAACGTTCCAAAAATTGATTATGATAAGACACTAATTTCAGCAAACAAATGAGTTTCTACCCATCGAAATATTGTTCAAAATTTCCGGGTGCGCCTGGCACGATTAAAAACAAGAATTATGGTAATTTTTTCTCAATGCCTTAACGAATTAGAAAGAAAAACATCTCTCAAAAAGAGGAAAAGCTGCATCGAATGACACCTTAGCTGTTTGCCGTTCTGATGTTTTACGAAGCTGGGGATAAACAAATATCAAATTTGGTAGCATCAGAAATGATAATTTTAGAAAATTTGAAAAGCCAGCTATCGATGCCAAAAATTGTATTACGTTGCATTTTGTTTGCTCTATCTGACTGTTATCAAAGCATTTCCAAAGTACAGAATGAAAATAAAAAAATAGCAAAAGTAAGGGAAGGCAGAAACAGGGGTGAAGATTCTGACGATCTCTTAAGCAAACAGCAAAGAAATCCGAACAAAAACATAGTTGCTGAAAAGAGGAAGAAACTCTGAATAGGACACTCCACAGAGTGTTCGCCTATCTTTATTCTGGATGATTTAAGTATAGAACGAAAAAACGGCACGAACTATTGGGTTCACCTAATATTAGGTCGTTCCGACTTACCGTTTTTTCAACCTATCATACAAACACGTAAAAGGAAGGCAGGGTAACATCTTCAACCACTATTCGAGGCAGCTTTTCTTCACTTTTCTAGTAATCATGTTTCTACGCTGGTGAATCGATCATTGAGATAATCGCTGATTCAAAGCCATGTTTACCACGTCCAACTTTGACAAATTCTCAAAATCTTTATTTTGCACTTTTAGAAAAGCTTTGATTGTAGTCAGGTAATAAACAAAGTGCAATGTTAGGCAATTTTTTGGTATTTACAGCTGGTTTGCCAAAATTTTAAAATTATATTTCTGACACAATCCTTTTGGTCATCCAACGAGTCATAGAACATGAAGGGCGCACTACTATGGTAATTAGTTGCACATTTTTCCTTTTTTTATGAGTGTTTTTTCTTCCCAATTCAATGAACCGTTGGTCATAGAATTTTCATAATTCTTGATTTTGTCCCGCCAGGCGGTACACGTAAAATGCGAAATTTGATGTTTCGAGGCGGTAAATGCTCAATCCTTTTCTAAAACGGTGCATAATCATAATCGAATTTGGAAGTTTCAAAATCCGACGATTTTTTAGTGTTTGGAGCGTTTGTGTATGTGACATCGCAAAAATGAGGACTTTTGGAAAAGTTATTTAAAAATGCTGAGAAAACATTTGAAGATGCCCAAGAATTTCATTAGTTGTAATTGTATTACATTGCACTTTGTTTACGCAAGCTATTTGCTATTTAGGCTTTTCCAAAAATTCACAATGAAGAGTCTGCAAACAGGGCCCGGCACCGATGGTTTGGGGTCAAACTGGACTTCGTTTTTGGAGTTAGAAGCAATGGGGACATCGTTTTAATGAGGTCCTGGAGGAAGCGCCAAAAAAACACGACGAACATGTCAGGTTTCACGAGTCGAGCGTGTTCTTTCGCAAGCGCGCGAATTTCGAATGCAAGACTCAAACAAACAAATGGCTTGTTTACAGCGCACAAACAATCACATGGCTCCGAATTTGGGCTACGTTTATACAATATTACTCCAAACTATGTTATGTAAAAAGTTCCCAAAACTTATGTGTCCTAATATCCGTTCTCGAATTTGTTGGTTTCTAGACCAACTACCAAAGCAACTGGGTTGGTTCGGAGCATAAATATCGGAGAGCTCACATAAGTTTTGGACCTTTTTGATTTGGACGATTAGAACGGTCAAAAATCTATCATATAGTGAAGAGAGCGGATCAAACCGTTGCCTCTCCCCTTTCTTTCCCCACGTTTTCCTGCCTCCGTTTTCCTGTTTCTCTGTGGGTTGAAAAGAAGGAAAGAACTTCCGGAACGATCTAATACAAATGTGTCTCAAATAACCCGAAATAATCACAGATAAACTTTTCCATTTTCCCGCAAACTTCCGAGGGAGCTTCATTAGGTCCGAAGAAGACACTTGCTTGAAGTGATCTTTCCATATGGACCGTATACTATTTTAAAGCGCAGAATGATTCAAATCTGTTTTTGTTATCCGCAGGAGCCTCTGAGGATGAGTAATTAGAGCACTCTTTTTTTGAAGCCATTAAGATACGATTACAAAAGCAAATCAACTTTCTCAAATGGCATAAATCCCGCAGAAAAGGTGCTAGAAAGATTCTTGACGCATTCGACGCATTTCTCACTCTCTTTCAAATTAACCGTTGCCCAGTAGTAACCCGCTTTAGCTTCTATTGAACAATTAACTATAAACCTGTATCCACAACGTGGTTTCCTCATTTGAACTTGTGCAACGAGCTCCCAGAAAATGACTAAACTGCGACTAAGAGTTTCTGCCATGGCCAACTTTCGTTAACTTTTCAAATTTTTCTGCCGAACTCCAAGGAATTTGAGTAAGGGATAAGTAGAGCAAATCTACAGGATACAAAACGACTTTTTCTCTATCATAAGCTTGCATTTCATAGTTTGTTAAAATATTTTTTCAGACCGATTCCTAGTTTTAAAACTTAGCGAGGACATACGATGAGCAAATTTGCACTTTTAAAACTACTGTATTAGCCTACTTGTTACTAATCTTGATGATCAGCAGTCATATAAAAAAGAGATCGTGAAAAGTGAGACCATGAGAAGTTGGCCGGAAAATCCTGATTTTTCAGTAAAAATCAACAGACTTCCATAGTCAAGACTAAAGTCGTAAGCATGGTCATTCGGAGCTCCCCATTATCTTACAAGCAGATACAAAGTGTAGGCCAAAATGCTAAGGACAAAAGCATCTTGTAACTGATTTCAGTTAATTTAGATAAACATCCAGTTCATGCCATAAGAACTTTGAATATTTGGAGGCAAAAGTTGATCGTGATGCAGGTGCGAAACTCAGTGATAACCCCAAGGAAGAAATCCTTTTTCAAAGAACAGCAATGTGATTACCTGATGGCGGCTTCCTTTCGGTAATATACAAGACCACTACTTGTATTGCTATAATCAAAGGATAAAAGTTGCTGATCTTCAAACATTTTGATTGATCATGAATTCGGGCATGAATCTAAACATACCAGTGATGACATTCTCACTATCCTCGTATATATACTTCGCTCCCTTCCTGATAGCATGAATATAACCATCAATCTTTCCTTCAACAAGAATGTCGGACTTGATATGTGGCGCTTGCGTCCAAACAACAACAAAAGGAAAGAATTAAGAGTTATTAATTAGTTGCAAACTGACTTGCTTGCAGTTTTCCAAATTTTCTATGCTGCGATGTGACATGATGGATTTTTGACGAACTTCCCTTTTTCTCTTCTACCTTGGGTCCTACGATTACGACATTCCAATTTGAGGAGTTCTGCAAAGTCTCGAGCAAATTGTAAAGAAAGCATTAGTTCTATATGCTGCTCCTATTCCGGGTTAGGGCCTGAAACATACTCTATCTTTGTCCTCCATAAGCAGTCGCGGCAGGTGGAGTAAGAAAAAGCAGTTAAAGTAAGCAAATAATATAAAATTTCAAAGTAAATTTCGAATTTGTATTTTTCAATTCGCAGGACAGAAAAAGATTATAGTACTTGGCATCTTCGACACCTCTGGCGGGCTTCAGAGTACGCATTCGTCTTTATAGTTGGAAATACTGCTAAATAAATGGAAACCTTTACACCACCTTGCGGGGTTCAGTCGGTTACCCAGTGCTTCGATCCTCCAGTTTACCCTGGTAGCAATTTACCAATCCGGAAGCTGGAGGGTCTGGTTGGTCCAAGAGCGGGATTCGATTTTGGTCCGATTGGTCATAGCGGCGCTCCTTAGCTATGCCACTCGTTGTCGTAGAGCACATAGGAGTAAAATCTTATGGTGCTACTCGTCGATTGCAATATCTAACAAGGGAACGATACTTGTGTCCGTGGCCTTCGACCGTATACCATCCACTCGTCTTGGAACGCTGATCCCGAATCTGACTTCCGTTTCTGCTAATCTTTCTCTAAAAATTGTGAAGGAATCTATTTGCCTTTGCTAAGGATTTGGTCGCCTAAGAGAAATACTGTCGAGGATGCCTAACTTTCAAAAAGAAACTTAATTGAGGCGATTTGAAACTAAAAAACACAAAAGTACTCGAACCTAAACCTGCATTAACTCGCGATGCTATCTCACTAGCCACTACACATCGTCACGGGGATTTCGGCATTCCGACCAAAACTGCTTTAGCGCGAAAAAACCCTTTATAACCTTTTTCAAAGAAACGATCAACAAAAACGGAAGTCACATTCGGAATCAGCGCTCAAAGGCGAGTGTAGTAGTGTACATCTCATCAAAAGGCCATGGACACCGAGTATTTTTCCCTTGTAAGAGTAAATTTTGAGTGCACTTCTGGTGGACTATACATGGGTAGAATTTTCTGATTACTTCGATGGATTGTAAGATCTGTACCTCTTACAAACCCCAGCACGAAACCTAAATTTGAAATTCGATAGCAGTGGGTATCATTCTAAAGCATTGTTATGATGAGAGGCGCACCTGGGTTCAAGCTTGCAAAAAATCAACATGATGATTGTCTGGTCTGTAATCTCGGTCTTACCCCTTGCTCCAACTCCCAGCCGCGTGATTTAACACGTTTCGGAGAGAAAAACCGTAGTTTGAGTACTGTTGAGCACGGTTTACAACCGCGAAACGCTGCGAAAAAGTGTTACTTTTGGCCGTTAGCCAACAGGACCTTATTTCGTAGACTATGTGCTACATCTGTAATAAGCTTGTCAGATAAGTTCCATATCCAAAGTTCTGAGTGAATATGAAGTGTTTGAATTTTGTCGCTTGAGAGGGACTTCTGTGCTATCTTGAAAGGTAGGAACAAGAACTCAGCTTCTAATAGTATTCAAAAGCATCTATGTTGTAAACTTTACTCAACAGTATTCATATCTATGTTGTAAACTTTACTCAAAAGTATTCAAACTACGGTTTTTCTCTCTGAAATCAAAGCAAAGAGAAGTTGCGACGTCGCACGCGTCGTTCGCGTTGCCGCATATCGTTGCAACTGCTATTCATTGTGTCCTCATATCTCCCAAACAAATATCGGCAGCACAACTCTACAAAGTCCTTTGGAAAGTAGGAGCTTCGGCCTTTGACTCGATACCTTGACTAAAAGAAAACCTCCTGTTAACGCCAAAAAGATCCTTTGAAGCAGCGTGCTGCACCATGTGCAACACCGGTCCAAACGTGTTAAAGCTTGCCGAAGAAAAACCAATAAGAGAATATCAACCATTAGGAAGATTAGTCTCAAAACAACTTCCACTTCGAAATGTGTGTGGTGTGTGTGGTGTGTGTGGTGTGCGTGTGGTGTGTATATGGTGTGTAAGTGGTGTGTGTGTGGCGTGTGTGGTTTACCTTTAGAGATTTCCTAGTTTCCTTGATAGTCAATTCTTGAGTAGTTACGATCCACCCATGTGTAATATCTTCAGTAGATTCAGCGCTGCAAAGATGAATAATACTGAGGTGCAGTAAGCCTTAATTTATTTCACCTTGAGAGAAAATTTTCGGAGCATTGTGTGCTCGAACTGACAGGCGTCACATTGGAAAGCTTCAATGGATTTTTGGGTTGATCGTAATAGAGAACATGGGGAGCAAATAAGCTGCAGAAGAGCAACTTCAGCCAACGAACAATCCTTTCGGCGCCAAACATCAGTGCTGAACGAGTTTTGTACTGAGGATACAAACAGAATTTTCTCATGCCAATATATCTCGGTTCTTAGCGAACTTGATCTGATACTTTTCACATGTTGGTATTTGCATCGCAATAGAATTGTGAGAGAATGATTTGCACAGTGAGATAAGGTTTGAAAGGTGACTGCAAGTATCAGCTGATGGCTCCTACCAGAGAAAACAAAAGGTGTTTGAACGGCGTATTAAACGTGCAATTATCCATCGAATGACAGATCTGAGATAGAGATTTTTTGATGCGTCAATAATAATGAATGACTCGTTGGTCGAGATCCTAGTTATTTGCATCAGAAATGCCAAGAAGTAGAGATAGTATAGAGTGCGGGAAAAGTACTGCCCCACTAGCTTGGCTCCTGAATTACCTCAAACGTAAAGCAAATCTGTAGTTTTTTGATTGCCATTTGTAGGCGAGATCCTTGAGATCAGATAAAGATAAGTTTGATTTGAAAATGTTTTTTTCTGTTCGTTTGAACGAGTGATAACAACGTGCAAAAACATCAACGATGCGCCGAGCATACAAGCGCGATTTTGGACCATAACTATACCACCACCATTGATATAAGGTTCAAATTGATATGTAGTGCATAGCCTCTTCTTCAATATTCTATACCTACTATAGATTAATTATAGATTGGTAAGGTCTTGTTTTGGCTGAATAAGGAAGATAGTATCACAAAATGTCGAAAAGAGTCAGACAGGACTGCTTGCTAAATGAATGGAACCAAACTATGATTCGAAATTCCAATTCCTACAAAAAGTAACAGGAATAATGAAAAGAGCCTTGGGCTTCGTGTGAGTTATGATTTTGGAGCAATAAAAAATTGTATAGGCCGTCCGCGCAGGGCGCGCAGAGTGCGCAAGGTGTGTATTGCGCGTCACTCCTCTTTCCTCGTACACTCTTGCCGTCTTTCTCTGCGCTTCTTCCAGTCGTGAAATGCCTTCAACGTACGCGACAGCGCTGCTCTCCATGCGCAGCGCGGACGGCCTATACCAGTCTATGTGCCGCGTTCTTTGATCGCACTGTGTTGCTCCGCAGCCACTTTTTCGTTAGAAACATTCACAACTTTTCTCCTAGTACAACTGCTGACTGGCTACTTTCAGAATATTTCGGGGTCACTACCACATTCCTTTAGCAGTAGAGGATTCCCCAATTATGCGTTAGAAACAAAAATTTCCCAAAAATCTTTACACTTCCTAACATTTGTAAAGGGAGTTGCAAGATTTGATATGAGATGCGGTGCAAGAAGGGGTCCGCCGCCTGGTGAAATTGTAGAATTTTGAAGCCAGTTTTTGTAAAATGCTAGAAGAGACTCACATCTTAGGATCTGTGTCAATTTTGCTGGAAAATCCTCTGAATCACGCATATTGTTTAACTTTATTTTGAGGGACAGTACTTTTTCCGCACACTGTACAATGACGCGATAAATTGAAAATTGAAGCAACACACGCATTCGAAGCCGCGTTATAAAAATATGGAGTCTAAATGAAAAAGCGAATCTGTAAAAGTTTGCGATCCGTTTGTCTTTCGGCTATTTTTGAATGGTTAACACTTCGTGACCGGTAGGCTGCTTTATCAACTCCGCGGCAAGCTTTGAAGCTCAAAAGGTAAGCACTCTAAACCGGAGTGGCAACTTGGAGATGTATGTTTAGGGAATAAGGTTGTGCACGCGATTATGCCGCAAAAATTTGGAGTGACAATGCTGAAGGCGAACTCGCCCGATGAAGAACCGCAGTTTTCTACCTAAGTCATGATTCCTCAGAGGTCGTCTTCGCGGCTCTGCCAAACCTCAGTGATATGCATTGCTTGTGCTGAAAAGCAACGAAAGGATTATCAACTAGTAAGATGTATTGCTGCACTGTTTTGTGCATTATCATGATTCGCTAATGGCACTGACAGCATCTTTTACTAACTTATCACTTATACTTTCCAAAATTTCCATGATTGGCTTTATCCTAGAAAATGACTTCCATATCTAAGTTCCTTCCAAAAATCCACTACTAACAATAAGACAAAGAATTTCTTCCACAAAAGCGAGAACAAGACTTAGAACAAGAAAAGCCCTGGTTTCGTAATTTGCACTTAGACTCTGACAATTCGAACAAATTCATACAATATGCAAGCATCTTCTTTGAATTCAAAGTGCTGAGTTTTGCCGTGTCGCACAGTTGTGAGCTTAAGTCCCATATAGCGTGCAATCTGTTCCAAGCCGGGGTAAGCTACAGTTGAGCTCCTAACTCTTGGGAAAAAAACAATTGCGATAAATTTTTCCATCGCTGCGTTTTTATGGTGAAAAAACCGTCGGATTGCTATAACTTCTCTTAAAGCAGATTTTTGAAGAAGCTGAAAACATCACTGGACTGCTAAGAATCTGGAGGTTTAGAATTTAGGTTTAATTTTCGAAAATACTTTTGTTTGACCTATCGCGACGTATTTGTCGCGACAAAACCGTCACAGGGCGTTAATTTCCTTAACGATAAGTTTCACAAACCTTATATTTTTGAATCCCTGGCAAGTTTCTGGCTTAGAAGGTGCTTTGAATTAACCAAAAAGCTTTCACAGACAGCATTTAGTGATCAATTGGAGTGTTTTCGTCGAATTCAGGTCGAATTTACAAAGATTTAGAATAATTTACAAAGTTTGTTGAAGGAATTAAGGGGAGAGGAGAGCAACAAAAATTTTTTCCAAGAAGTGCGTACTCCGAAAATTTTTTGATACGCTTTCCAAAACTTTTGCGCCCTAACCTTGATAATTGAGAACCTGAAAAAAACTTTTTGAACAGGTTAAATTGAATTTTTAAAAAATTTTAAAAATTATTTTAACTATTTACAAGTGTAAAGAAGTCACCTGCACATCTTTATAACACATGTAAATAACTTTTGAAAATTTTGCGACACCGAAACCTTCACTGCTAGTTTAAGGTGGCTCGTCCATGAAGAATCAAAGAAGGAAATAGCAGAAAAAACTTAGTCTAAATTATCGTGGAACGCGCTCGCAAATTACAAACTTGAAATTGCAACACATTTCTATTTCCTTCATTTTATGTGTATAATCCTTGGGAAGTGTGCCGCCGGCGCCATGGCCAGAATCTAGGAGGATGCGTACTAGTAGAATGCTGGTGATAAAAATGGGTCTCGCCTATTCAAGGACTAGAGCGATCTTTTGAAAAAATTGTAAGAGTGAACATATAGCAGAGTAACCACTTCCTAAATGAGGCGACAAAGGCAAATCATTTTTTGCTATTTCCTTGCAACTCATTCTAAGGATTTTGATACGTGCGTCATCAACGTCTTTCAGATTACGCTGGTCACGGTGCTGGTTTTTGCTTTCAATTGCATCAAACTGAGTTTTCTTCTTTTTTCTTTCTTTCTTCTTTTCCCTGATGCTGCGCTCAGATGTTTTTCTATGCATTATTTTGCATCTTCGCGTGTTTGGATTGGTGCACTCAGATCGCATATAACTTACTTTATTTGTCCTTTACGAGAGCAATGTCAGTCATTGCGCCAGGTTTAAAATAATTCTTGTGTGAAGCTTTTTGAAAAAAGTAAAGTTTTTGCGTGCCTTCGTATGTTCACAAATACAACATTATATTCCTTGATTTTCAAAATACAATCAACTCAAATGATTCAGTAAGAAGTGGAGATAGATATACAAGATTTAAAACAATCCGAAATGTCTGAGAAAAATGATAAATAGTCAGGACCAACAGCGCTGGTAAATGTATTATTTATGAGCATCAAAATACAGACGACCTGATAATGAAGACCACAAATATACGCCATTCCGCGAGTCCCAATTTCAGTAAAAGAAAATTCCATGGTAAGCAAACAACTCAAAAGTGCGACGAGATCATCCAAAATGTTTGATCACTTCTTGAAGTCGTTTCCGAGCATCTAGCACCCGTCTTTCCTGTGCCGCGATGTCTTCTGGTTGCACAGATATTGGCTGCAAGCAAGGCGGATAATTACCGCAACTAAGTTTAGAAAATGTGATGGAGGGCAATGTACAAGCCGTGCCCATGCTGCAATGAGCAATCAGGATACTATGAGTCGTTATGGAAGTTCTGGGTATCATTTCAGACAACTGTGCAGCTATCTCGATGTCTTTCCTCAACAATTATTTTTCCCAAAAACTTGTTACTCTACAAAGGTTTCTGTAGTCTTCTACCAATGGCAGATTCCAGAAATAAGAGCGGTAAAATAAGATCAACTCAGCTTCAATCATTCTAGTTAAGTTACCAGAAGTCTGAAACATATAGTAAGACCCGACTGTTAGTAATATGAAATTTCTGAGCAACTCTTTCTGAGAGGAGAAATGAGCTGCTGATTAGTCTCTAGTACGAGTTACTTTAAAAAAAATAGCTGTTGCTTACCCAGCTTGTAATACAGTTGAGATGTTCGATCGGCACAAAGTTTTCTTAATATGGAAAGAAAACAAGTCTATCTGTGAAAGACAGTTTAATGTTTCAATGCAATGTTCCATAATTCTGACTTAACTCATATGATCTTAATATTTCGCTTTTATCACCACTCTTGCATTTGTGTTTAGGGAGGTGTCCGGGCAAAAAGTCGATTTTGAGATTTTGTGCTTATCCGGGCCTATTCCCTATGCTGAATCCGAAAATCCACAATGGAGAGCGCAAAAATTGCGAAAAAAAGGCTCTAACGCAGGAGGGAAATTGCAGGTAGTCGGGGTGGGTCTTTCACGCTCAATTCACGCTCCCAGCTTCGGGAGCAATCTTCTCGATTCCCATTTCAAGTCACGCGTTTGCACTTGGCCGGTGGGATGTCAGGACGGTTAGCGGCGAAAAGATCCGGAAGCTAGAAGCGGATTCACAGTGGGGAAGACCCCGCCATCTGCTGATCACCTCCAGCGTTAGACCTTCTTCGCCGTTTTCGCGCTCTCCAGTGTGAATTTTCGGATTCAGCATAGCAAATAGACCCTGGTAAGCACAGAATCTCAACGACTTTTTGCCCGGACACTGCCTTTGAGTCCCCAAGAGTTCCTCACAAAATAAAAATTGAAAAAGGTAGTCTTGCATCGAAACCCGACTTTGTCCCATCTCAGAGAGACGAGACGATGAATTGAGCCTGATAAATATATAACGATTTCCCAAAAATGAAGCTACCGCATATATGATGATACAACATGTCTTAACGCAATTTCCAAACGAATAACTCACCCGCAGCAAAGGTTGCTCTGGATTCACGTTCAACAGCAGATTGTTTTCCAGTTTCTCCTTATCGGCGGATTGGCCAAATGCACTGAACAAACAAAAGGTGATTGACCTGTTACGGAATTGTTGTAATGGAGAAGCAGTGTTTAGTTTGATGATGTTGTCAACAAGCACCAATTACTTCGATTATTCCCGTCCTTAGTAGCATAGCATATGGTGCGGGAAAATGACGTGCAAAACTCAAAAATCATGCCCAAAAAGTGTTACCGAATATTACATACGGTCGACGCACAGGTGCAGCCGAAGAACTGAGAAACTGATGATATTACGCAAACCTAAGAAATTTCACGAGTCATTAATTTGAGCTACTATGAGTGTGTAGCCAGCCATTTCCAGTAATCTCAAAATGATTGTTTTTAGTGAATTTTTGACACTGTAAACATATCAAGTTCAGAAAAACCAAGCTAAGGATTGCTATATATGGATTTTTTTTTTGCTGATCAAAATTGAAATCACTACGTCATATTTAAAAACAAACACTCCTAGCCGACCAAAACCTTCTGGTAAGCCAAAAGACCAATTCAACACAACAGAAGATAGGAGACAGGACTCAAATACCGCTTGTTAAATCCTTTTCGTAGCATGCATCAATCCGCTTTTTTTCAGTAAATTTTCGAACTTTTTATGTACGGGATAAGTAATCCTATCACCCCTATACCTGCTCTATCCAGCTTAATACTTCATAAAATGTATGCAGCACCGAATCTTCTCAAAATGAGCAAGAAGTAGTGCAAAACAGATCTCTAAACTTATCGAATAGTGGGAACGCATTTACAGACCAACGCAAGACAGCCATAAGTGAAACAAATACATCGTCGACATTATCGTGCAATACTATTGACGAGGCAACAAAAGCGTGTTTATGGACAATGAAAGAAAAAATAAGAAAAAGAAAACATACCCTGACTGATTCGGGTTGTGGATACTAGTGAATAAGGAAGCCGCCGCAGCTTGCTCGTTCAGTACTGCACTTGCCCTTTCGAGACGACCAGCAAGATGAAGACTTTCTGTCAGATACTCCGTTTTGTTCACATCGACCTGAGACGGAGAAGGAAATGCTGACGTTTAGTTTTACAAATCTAATTCCAGCGAAATCAGGTAGTAAGCGTCAGCGTCTCACAAATCTCTGACTGGTATGACCTTATCTGTCTGATCCTCAAGTCAGAAAAATCATCATTGCCAAAACTAGGTGCTCAGGTTTTGAAAAGGTCATCTGAGAGAATGTTGGGATCGAAAATATTCGTAATTATTTCGCCGGTATCTGCTTCAAAAAGTGCTACTCGGTTCATCGTTCAAGACTTCCTATACCGAACTATGCCATCGATATTCATGAAAAAAAGCAAAATAAACTTTATCTAGGTCTTAGTATGCACCGCAACTCTACTTCAGTCCTATCACATAGTAGGACCGCCTATATAAAAATCTTTCTGACTAAACAGAATCTACCGAGTTTTTGGGAATTATCGTACGCTTCTGGTGAATCACGTCATTAACTAAGATCTTATGGGTAATATTGTAGTCAGAATCTAGTTATGAGCCTACTAATCTGCATTTGAGAGTGACCAATACTCACTATAATTCCTCTGTTATCAAAAGCAAGATTAGTGTGCACCTACAGAAACTGTTGGAAAGTACCAGTTTTTAATACCATCAAATCGATAAATACTTGCATGTCACTTACCTTATCAGCAACTGCAGTAGGTATGAGAGCTTGCACATTTTCCAAAGCTTTTGCCCACATCACCTTAAACGATTTTCAGAAGAAAATTCAGAATTTTCGCGAAAAAAAAAAACGACAGCTGATAGATCTCGTGGTCACTTACAGGTGCAGGCTTTTCCAGTGGTCGATTGTTCATCAACCCACGTTTAAGTTGCTGCTCAGTTCCTTTCTTGCTGTCACGACCGGAAGTGTGCACTAGTGTCACCGGCTGTTTGAAGATAGATACAGTTTTGCGCCTGGAATCCAAAATCTACTTTCAATGATAAATGCAAAAAATGAAGAACAATATGCAAAAATTTAAGATCTTGGCTTTTTTTAGACTGATAATCCATAATAGTATTACCAAGGAGCGTTCGCATGGCCATCGAATCCGGTGTGAATAGCGATGTGATCTTCGCGCTTCTGCTTACTTGGCCGTCCACGTTTTGCCTTCCGAAGTGGATCTGCCTCAGAGTTTTTCGGCCTTCCCATTCTAAAATACTATGCAATAAACTAGCGATCACACAAAAACTTTAACATAAAGTTAGACAAGAGCAGGTTGAGTGCTCCATACTGCGCTAAATTAAGGCAATGTCCTATGCCGAAGGCTCATCGGTACACCTCATTACCTCTTTATCTCCGTTCCTACTTTCACCTCAGCATCAGAAGGCACCCTAGTCCTTGAGCTATGGAATTACTGGACTCCTTGATACCTGTGTGAACGCTCCCATAGGAACGACCACTAGACCTACAGGTACATTTCCTTTCAGTATGGAACTATGTGTATAACATCATCCTCCAAGCCATTCATTATGTGCACGTGCTCTGTTCCGTCGATTCTTTCATGGGGAATGGGTGTTGTTCATAAGGTTCAAGTAAAGTAAGGGTCTCTCCAAACTACGCAATACACGTCATCGCAGCATCTTACGCTGCGCGGTCAGAAAGAGCCCTCAGCAATTTATATTTAATTTTTTCGAACCCCATGGTCGAGGTGATCAAGCAGAGAAATTTTGAGCGCACTTCCATAACATATACGGCGAAAACAGCTAAATCATAGATTGAATTTCAATTTATACAGTATCTCATTGATCATACGCTTATACTGTAGACACAATGGAAGACTTTACATTTATCTGAAGATAACAATACAAAGGTAGATTTAGATCATCAAATTAATATGAGAATATTAATTAACACGTACGACATCATAAGATCAACAGACAGCCGCGCCTCTTTGACAGGTCTGAGGAGTGGCAATTAATGCGCAGGACGACAAAGAGTCCAAAATGCACACCAAATTAGGTTACATGTTACATTTGAGATGGTAAACATGTGTGACACCAACATCCGCACCGAGATGTTACAAGCTATCAATATGCGACAAACCCATCAACGACCACGTAATATACACAGCGATGGAGAGATGCAACCGAAAAGAATATTTGACAATCATACAATTACAATCATGAAAGCTTTTCACACTAACTAACTCGACACCACCAGGAAATGAGCAACTGAGAGCTCAAGTGAGGAGTCTAATCTTGAAGGTTATTGCGCGACCAAAGAATGCCAGAAGAAGGGAACTAAGAACTACTCCCACCACAGCTACTCATCATCGGCCTTCTTTTTCATACCGCTTTCTTCACCGTTTTCTTCGTTACGCCTCTTGAGACCTCTTTTTGCTGCATCGTCGAGGTTTATGCTCGGGTCAGACGGTTTGTACTCTTCCGACTCATCCTCATCCTTCAAGAAAAAGGATTCACTTGTGCAAACAATGTCATGAGTCAAACTTACTAGCTGACTGTTGTCCAGATAACTCAGTCCAGGTCCATCGATATCAGAGCCAGATTCGTCTCCACTGTCTTCGTCTCCCAAATCGTCCTAAGTAGATACAACACTACCAGGTGACCAATGAGTAAACGAAAAAAAGCCAACGACTCTCCCGCAAATCAGATGAAAGAAAAACAAGAAATCGCGAAATATACCTCTCCATCAAGCGAATCATCAACTTCTTCGCCATTTATGTCAGCTCCATCAAGAATTTGCAAAGACGGGATTGCTTCGAATATCTTCGACCTAAGAACTGCATTATTTATGGCGCCTGACGTAAAATTTATTGCATACCAACTACCTGTATTCACTTTCGGAATCCCCCTCTGTGATTGGATTGTTGAATAAGTCAAGCTCTGCCAGCTTCAATTTCTTTAAAGGCGCCAAATCCTCCACTTTAGCGATCCTAAAAACCGTCTCAATACTGTAACCAAATCTCTTCAAAACTCAATAAACAAACTTGTTTGATGCCAGATTGAGATGAAGAAGCTCTGGACAGTTGTCAGCCACATGCTCAAGTCCTCCAGCGATGTTATTATCCGAGATATCCAGCTTACTCAGTTGAGGCAACTTTGGAAGGTTCTTGAGGCTTTGCAAGCCAACATGAACCATGCTCAAACTCTAGATAAAAAACAATAAAGTAAAGAAAACAAACTAGTGATTACAGAGATGTTTGAGTAATGAAAAGACTTGCAGATGATGTTAGACCTTTACCTGCAAATTCACGAGCTTGTCACTGACACCTTCAATTTCAGCACTTTCGCACCCATCAAGAACGAGATCTTCTACAGTAGCGGGATCGCGATCACGAAGTTCGAGTGTGTAACGGGCTTCCATCTAAACAAGTCTATGAACTGCGAACAAATGTTCCGGTCCTACAAAAACGAAATAATCTGTCGCTGGGCAGATGCAAAAAACGAGTGACCACTGAACGCACAGAAATGACTTATCGCTGCACAACGAAAGAAAAGGGAAGCAAGCTGCAGAAAATAATTGCGCCCATTCTAAAGTCCTCGCACACTATATGAACCAAGAAAGAAAGAAGAAAATGACTAGAAATCAAAGAAACTTTTAGGATGAATGAACATCAGCCGCTGCGAGCAAGGCCTCTTCCGCGCGCAAATCTAAAATCGACCAATCACAGGCGAGACCCCGCCTCGTTGGCGGCCATCCAACGGGCCTGGCTCATCGCCAGGCCAATTATCGTGAGGCGGACGGCGACCGTCGAATCGATCCTGACCAAACATTTGTTTCGCTCCAACGTTATTTGTCTGGGATATAAAGCATAAAGGCAAAGCTAGTGGGTGAAGCAAGGTCTGCAAGAAGGGAAGAAGTCGAAGCAGAATGCTGCCGCACGGGTAGAATTCGTTGCAAAGCTTTTTTCAGCGGGTGGACTTGTCGCCGACGCTTTTTGAACTTTACAAATCCAACAAGCACTTGCATGCAGGGAGATTTGCAGTTTTAGCCAGACATGGCCTTTATGGTTGGATAATTCTGCATGAAAATCAGTATCGAATAGGAATTTTGATGTCGGGTAGTTCACGGAAGAATCTTTCAAAATAACCTAAGTGTCCCTGCGAAAATCTTTTTGGTCTCCTGTAACGTCAAAAGCGCGCGAAATGTGTTATCACATAACAATCTTCGAGCGAAGTTGAGGCGATGTTGGAGCTTTTGGATCCATTTGGATATCATTTGTCGCATCGAATGATACTTGCCACTCACAATCAGTATGACATGTGTTACTCTTGTTATAGTGAATTGAATTTCAAGGTACTTCGCACACAACCCAAAAAGATCACAATCACTTAATTTGCTAAAAATTAACCCAAGGGGGTTATTCGACCTGCTGACCACAGAAATAATATTGATGGGGAGTTTTCCGAGGAGTTGCGAAAGGCTTAGATACGGTATGGGGTAAAAATCTCAAACCTCGTGAAACTTTACACAAAAGGGTTATCTGACATGCTGATTACGAATGCAGGCTTTTCGCGCGGATTTTCTCCATGCATGGTTACGGTAGGTAACGGTAGGTCAAAATCACAGCCAATCATAGACTTTCCTAAAACTTTCCTAGGGGTCATTTAGCACACTAAACATTATTTCGTATCGAATTCGCATACTGGAGCACCATTTCCGGGGGCGGTGGGATACTGTAGACGAAGTTCATTTGCTAAACACCTTTGCCCAGAAGGGTTTCTGAGCCCTCTGATCACGAGTATCATGCTTGCTCGCTGCCACAACCCCCTGTTGTGGAGTTACGAGTCTGCAGCACACAAATAAACTTTTTTTTTTCGCTTTCAGGACTTGAATGCCAAAAACTCATGTAAAGGCGTAATCATGCGAACATGGTGTATTACGTGATCATTATGTTAGGTAACTCCCTTGCACAAAGTTTCACATCCATATACAAGAAGGATCACGCAGAGAAGAGCAGGTATTCCTGATCAGCATGTCGAATAACCTGTCTAGACCGAATTCCAGCCAATTCCAGGATTTTGACGCCCTACCGTGCACCCACCGTAACAACAGGAAAAGTGTTCGTGTAGAAAAAGTGTGTAAGCAAGTCGAATAACCCCTCTTCGAACGTTTCAAGAAGATTTCAAGAAGAGATTAGCCCATACTGTTTGACCTAAAAATTGCTCATGACTCCTTCAGAAGAGCTCTTTAGGTATAAAAACTAGATTTGGAATCAGCCTTCCAAGCTTTCACTAACGGTGTGCAATTCGTGGTGATCGGACACTTTGACTTCGTGACCTTTCCTTGTAAAGTAGTGCTACTTTGATCATAATAGGTTAAATCAATAGTAGCTCTTGCGTAATTCATAAAAAAAAACTTGATAACATCCCATTCAACTTAATAGCACCTAAATACATGTTTTTGTACTTGAAAAAAGAAGTTGCGCTTCAGACTTTTATCTGAAAGCAACTTTTGGCTATGAAAACAAGATTACGAAAAAGGCACTTCGAATTTTGTGATTTTTAGTTTCAGAATAGGAGTCCGTAAAGTTTTCTTACAGTAGCGTCCATCCACTGTTGGCAGGCTTTGTTCTTGCACGGAGATGCGACAACAAAACTTTTTTGCATGAATTTGCAAAAACACAAATTGACGTTAAAATAAACGTCACGGCACTCCAGGTACGAGGTCATCTTTCTGGTCTCGAGTTGTGTTCTTGTGAAATAATCGGGACAATCGAGTTTCACTGCAAATCAAAATTTCTCACAAATTCTTTGTTCTTAATTTTCAGTGCGTGATTAAAGCCTGCCACAACGAAGTATGGACAGCTGCTATGTAAAAAGTTTCACGGATTTTTTTAGGACTGGCTAGCTGCCATCTAGTATTTTTTGTCCTAAATCGAATTCAGGAAATTTGAAATGTCGTTTCTGGAAGCTCATTTCTCTACCCAGGGCCCGGCAGGAGGTTGCGTTTTAAATTTTTGAAAACGATATCCCCTTTGAAGCCAACATTTTACGACTTCTCCTTTGACCCTTTTTTGACCTCCCTAATTCCGCGACAGACAATATACACAAATAAATAGTCAGAGCGCCAAATAGATAGGCAGACTTCATTTATTACTTCAAGTAAGGTACATAACTTCACAATATACAATACAAAAAATAACAGGAAACATTATACCTATCAACAACTGCATAACATTCGATATGTGAAAAAAAGAGATCATTCAACCTGTTTTCAGGTACACGAGCCGTACTTATTACTCGAATTCACTCACTCATCCTCGTCACTCTCATACACATGGGAAGCCGTATCCAGCCGAGCCGTATCCATCACTCGAATTCACTCAACCCTCATCACTCGATTTGCTGCAGCTTATACACATGGAAACAGGGCATAACATAACTAATGCATAAGCATAGTTACAGCATAAGCATACACTGCAATCGCTTCTTCTACAGAAAAAATGATTTTTTGGTCAAAGCGATACAATTTACCCGTAAATGCGCTTAAAACCAAAGTGATGCACCTTCTCAGACAATTGCATCGGGAAGTTCGCGGGCGCCTGCTCGGCCACCAATCATCCATGCCGCGAGCTGCCCGGTATAAACCGATATTGGACCCGATAAGTGACCGCGGCGCATCCTGTACGCGCCCGATAGTTGACCCGATTAGCATGCTTGTGTATCCTAGGAAGAGTGAAAAAATTTTGGCCTGTCTTTTATGACAAGACTGAGTACAAATTGAACAACTTGTTAGCTCATCTGTCGATATTATCTACTGTCGCGATAACACTCAACCGATTGCTGAGGTTTGTTTCGTGAGCATATAAACTCAACTGTCACACAACCCAACCCGAGAAACGACTACCAGCCCCACAAACACTTGGGGTAGCCTCATCGCTGCGGCGTACCTCACGCGGGTTGCGCCTTAAGCTACAGCGTGCAAGAAATGCGGCCTTTGATAAGGCCCGCGGCACGCCAAGTGGGGTGATTGGGCCGCGACTCTCCCGATAAGCTCTTTTCAATTTTAACTTTGGCCGCGGAGTTCCCGGTAAAATATACATGGGCCGCGGCGTGCGCGGCTGAAATTTTAAGGGCCGCGGCTCGCCATGTAGCAGGCTTTGAGGCCGCGAACTTCCCGATGCATTTGTCTGAGTTGGTAATTCTCCTACTCAAACTTATATGTGCGATGGCATCGAGTTGGAATATTGCAGTGGCACTAAAGATTTAGGAGTTTTCGTTGACAACCAGCTCAGGTTTTCTCTCCACAGTGATTCCGTTACCAAGAAAGCTTTATCTGTCCTCTTTCTAGTTCTCAGAAGTAATGACCCGGCTCTTTTAGTGAAATTGTACAAAACTTATGTTTTACCGATTTTAGAGTATGCGCCGCCGGTATGGAGTCCTTTTTTGAAAAAGAATATAAGTTGAAAAGAGTACAGAAGACTTTTTCAAGAATAGTTTTCTACCGATGCTTTCCCCGACCCTAATTATCCTCACTCATTACCACCTTACGCTTCTAGACTATCAACCCTAAGGTTACGTAGCCTCAGATACAGACGCGTGTGCCACGACCTGGTCTTCCGTTCCGCATTTTGCGACTGGAGACCAGGCTTGTACCCAGTAGATACTGGGCTTTTAGGCCATGTCGTAGTCGAGCGGTAGGGTTTGATTTAGGATATCGTAAACTGGGATCCAAGATTTTTTCTACTGCATTCAACTCTTTCGTTTGTCGGACTGCTAGATGGATAAGTCTATTACCAAGACATAGACAAAGACATAAGTTCTTCCAAAAGCTCTTTGGAATTTCGCCGAAAGTTAAACTCTGTCAACGTTTTAGAAGTTTTGAATATTTTCGATGTGTGATAATTGCGTTGCCTCTTCAATGGCGCCGCATCTACCTTAATCTTTCCCGACTTTCGTTTGATTTTTTGTTATGATTTTTTGCAACTGGCTCAACAATTTTTGGCTATTTACGGCAGATTTTTGGAATTTTTGCATGTTTTTCTCAATACCTAGCACAAAAAAATGTTTTTTCCTGATACCCTGTTGCACCCGTTTTCGGCAGAATTTAGATCGCTTCTTTGTACATTAGCCGTTTGAGGATATCGACGACTGATGAGCCCTTTACCTTGAAATCCCCCCAACCCGCTCGCCCAGGGTCCCTGACGGATTCGTCCGTTCCGGGTTAAGTTGGTCAGCCAAGCCCTGGTAATTGTGACGTCATGATGTTGCGTTCGGGCATGGGAACAGGAGCTCGGCAAAGGTACCCCTCATCGTTCGAACGAGGAAAACGACCTGAAGAACCAGGAGGACGATCATTGTATTCTGTCTAGACGGTCCACTCACGTTACTTTTGTTGTTTTTACTTTTGGAACACCATGTGTGTATACATACATAAATAAATAATGTAAACGTCTCATTCGACGGCGGCGACGACGACGAAGTGGAGAACGACGATCGCTCTCCTCGTCGTCGTCGCTGCGGCGTCGTTCGCGTCCGCACATCTTCATTAAGCCATCGCAAAACGCAATCTAAAATGTACTAATTGAAAAAGGAAA